AATAGAGAAAGCTGAAAACTAAGCCATCAGAGGGGGAAGTCAACAAGAAACAACCTGGTTTTCTTTGAGACCCCAGAAAGCTTGCAGAATCCAAGGCTCCCAGTATGGCTTAGAACAGATTGGTACAAAGTATTAAAAGGGGCCAGTGGGCCCCCAGATCTCTCATCCCACTTTGCATCCAGCAGCAGGACCACTCCTCATTCACCCTGGCAAAAAGCCTGGAACCAAATAGGCTCTGACTTTGGGAATACTGGGTGGGGCCCAAAGCCGGGAGAATTCAAAGGGGATTGAGTGAAATCTGTTTCCTAAAATGTGAGGTCCCTCTACTTACTCTTGTTTCCCCACTTGGCTCCTAGAATGCTTATGGCCAAGTTACTTCCCCAGGCAGGAGATTAAGTGAGTCCTTTTTAGAGAGACTGGGTGGCCCAAGAGAAAATACTACCAGATGTTAGGATACTCCCATCCCCACGGTGCAGTTCTCCAGTCGTCCAAGGCCTCCTCTGTATGCAGAGTGAACTCACTCTGCACATGTAACTGGACAGCCCAGGGTTACCTGGCATCTCAGAAAATCCTCCAATAGGAGAAATCAAACAAATACTTTTCTTAAATGAACTAGAGCAAACAAAGATGATGGAGGGGCAGGAACAAAGTTAGCTGTCCGCAGAGAGGTGAGAGCAAATCTTGAAATCATGAAACAAGAACAGCGTGTATAAGAAAAGAAACAGTCTGAGAATAAAAAAGCTCTGGGGAATTATGGACAAGATATAAAATATAGAAATAAATAGTTCAGAAAGAAAAAGTTTAGAAGGTACTGAAGAGAGAATATTCTAGAAAGCATAGCCAAGAAAGTTCAGTGATGACAAATGGGAGAGAAATTATGAGAATCAGAAGGTCCAACATCTGAGTAATTAAGATTCCAGAAAAGGAAAAAAGAGGAAATGAAAGGTGGATACTATAAAAGCAAAAAACCTTGAATCTCCAGATTGAAGTGGCTGCGTGGATGTCCAACATCATGGGATTTCAGATACAGGTTTAAAAAAAATAAAGATTTAAAAGCTTTCCAGAGAGAAGATACCAAACTACACAAAGATGCAGGTATTAAAATCCTCATTGGAAATCCTCAATTAGCAACACTGGAAGCCAAAAGACAATGAAGTAATGTCTTTCAAATTCTGAGGAGAAGTAATTGTCAATCTATAATCCATACTCAGTCACATGTGAGAATGAAGACCTTTTAGATCTGAGTATTCCCCAAAGTTTTCTTGACATGTACATTTTCTTAGGAAAACCACTAAAGAATGTGCTCTGCCAAAATGAGGTCAGGATAACACTAGCTGCATTGTTCATGTCAGGGGTTAGCCCCCAAATGTCTACATTCTCAACATTGTTGGCAGGGTTCTGCCCTATGAAGTTACTAAATGTGTCAGCTACTTGCCTCTGGACTCAGTCCCCATCCCTCCATGTGCCCCTCTGTACTGTGGGAGGCTGGAAGACTGCAAATTTCCCAGATTTCCTTGCCAGCTGGCCTCTGGGAGCACGAAGGAGAGATCAGAGGTCAGGATGGAAGAGCAGACGTTTCCTGATTCTGATGGTGCTTTTGGTGGCTGAGGAGTGGGCTCGTTGGTTCTTGCTTACATATCACAGTTCCAACAGTGGCGACAACAGCCTCAATGATAAAGAAGTGCTGGCTCTCTGTAATTTAATTTTCCCCTTCTGCTCTTCTAGCCCTGGAGGAACTAATCTCTGGGCAGTCCCCATTTCCCCTTTGTAATATTACAGCCCTTTTAAGCTTGTGACCATTCTCCTGTACTAAATGTTCTGCTTAATTACTTAAGAGTTCTGATGTTTTCCCAAATGGACTTTCAGGGGTTCAGGCTGACTGTGGTTCCCCCATCTTGTACTTGTGCCATCTGGAACACATCTCCTCCAAAGCCATGTGTCAGGAGGGGAGCGAGATGGAGGTGACACACCAGCTCTAAAGTGCTTTGGCTGAGACGTAGCATGTATCACTTTCTTTCAAAGCCCATTGGCCAAATTAATTATTTAAACCCAATTTAACTGCACAGATGACTTGGAAATAACAGGGAAGCACTTGGAATATTTGGTGAGCACTAAGTGTCTCTATTATAATGAGTTAATCAAGAAAGAGAGAGGTAGTGTGAGGAAACAGAGATTAATGCAAGAGAAAGAGTGAGATAATGGGAAGTCCAAACGATGGTAGGGCAGGGTCCCAAGCCAATTTTGATCCAAAGGAAGAGACTCCAGAAGGGATGTCTCTGGAAAGGAATAAAACAGATTTTATGACCAGTCTGACATGGTGGAAAGTTGGGTTGAAAGGCACTGATGATAGAGCCATAGGAGAATGTGGAAAGACTTTCCAGTAGATTCTAAGACTGAATCAGTAGATTCAAAGAAAATTAAAAAATAAAATAATAAAAATGAGTGATTCACTCCAGGGAGAACTAAAAGTTATACAAGAAGAAAATAATAAAAATACTTTTACTGGGCTCAGCAGTGAATAATATTTATATAGATATAACTGTGAAAACAAAAAAATATGGATTTACCCAAAACTGTGATAAAACTGTGTTGAGAGGCACAGTCCTGCACTGCAGTTCTGACCCTGACCTCCAGAGTTGGCACAGATTTCCTAGTTAAGGGTATGATCCTCAGCAAGACTGGCCTTACTTCAGACATCAGCTATAAGTTTAGGGGTCCCCAGGCTGCCCACATGTCTGATCAACTGGCTACAGATCCAAGGGCTTCTGGGGCCCACTCAGGTTTGATAAGTCACTAGATCAACTTACAGAATCCAGAGGAGTGCTATACTTAGGATTGCAGTTTTATTAGAAAGGATACAAAGCAGGACCACCTGTGGTCCCTGAAGACACCCAAGGTCTGGGAGAGTCCCGATTGTGGGCTTCAGTGTCCTCTCCCTGGAATCAGAATGCTTCACCGTCCTCTGTTTATCACTGAATGAAAAGCTCACTGGAACTGTGGTGCCTAGAGTTTTTACTGGGGTCTCATTTCATTGGCATGCTTGGGTGGGTCATTGGCCAGATGACTGACCTCCATCTCCAGCCCCTTTCCCCTCCCCGGAGATGGTGTTGCTATCACATGGCTCAAAACCCCAGCCCTGTAGTCACATGGTTGGTCTTCCTGGTATGACCAGCCCCTGTCCTGAAGGACCCAGGGGCCCGCCATGAATACCAAAGACATTCCTATCACTGGGGAAATGCCAAGGATTTAGAGGCTCTATCCCAGAAAACTGGATAAAGACCAAACAAATTATTGCAGAAGAGGAGGATGAGAGGGAAAGCATGCACATGTATATGTGGTTTAAAGAGTTAATTCTGCATCTTCCAAAGTGGGATATCAACAGATATTATCTAAAATGGAAAAAAATCGAGTAATAGTGTTACAAATATATTATGTAGAAAAACGGCAAGAAATATCAGAAGTGGGAGTGAACTCAGGGGAGAGAGATTTTGCTAAAGCCTCAGAACTATTTGACTTACTCAACTCAGTATGTGTGTTACCTTCATAAAAGTTAAAGGGAAAAAGAAGCAAAAGGTAGTGGTGGAGGGGGGCTGTTATTTGAGTCAGGTGCTCAGGTATAGGGGAAAAACTGTTGGATTGGGAAGATACCTAACTGATGATTTTTATTATGTAAGGTGAGCTGTGAGCCGGGGTAGGAAGCAGAGTCTGAAGAAAAGTCTGAGAGGGGCAGACAGAGAGGAAAGGGAGCCTGGAGCTCCCTCTCAGCAGCCCCAGAGAGGTGTCCAGAGCTACCTGGAGGTGGAATGAGAGATGCAGTGACGTAGTCGCTGGTAATGACATCAGAGGGAGCTGTCAGGGTGGAGTGACAGGGCGGGGGCCAGGCTGGAAAACTGGAAGGAGGGACAGGGAACATGAACAGAACTACTATGGGGCATCTTTCCAGGAAGTCTGCCACCAAGGGCAGGAGGAGGAATGGTATGTTTTTAAGAAGGAAAAGCTGTGAGAATGAGCAAATGCTGATGGAGAGAAGCCAGTAGAGGGAGAAGCTAGATTCAGGAGCATGTGGATTCTCTGGGTCCTCAGAGCACAAGGTTTCCCTGGAGGAAGGAGAAGGCAGAGACAGCCCTGCTCCAGGCCCTCCCAGGGGAGGGGAGGTGGTACCTGCCTCAAGCAGAAGGGAGATGCTCGCCTCTCCTTAAATTCCAGACTAGCAAGGTGCTGTCCCGGTTCCACAGACGACGGAAGGTACTAATAACTTGCTTCATTGCCTGGTTGGAAGAGCCACCATGAATCCAGATTCTTCTGTCTCCAAAGACAGACTCTGTGCACTTGTTCCCTGGATGAGGAGAACGTGGTCCCCTGGCCCATTCCCCCGCCCGGAGCTCCTAGTAGGGGGTGCAGATGCCAGACGGGGGGCAAGCTTTTCAGGCAAGGGCCAGAGAGGAGGCGCCATACTGCACTGCCTATGGGGCCAGGAAGAATTCAAAAATGGAACAAGGGGCCACAGGTGTGGCAGAGATGTGAGCTTGGAACAGTATCCTTACTGTGCCCAGGGGGCTGTGCCCAGGGCTTGAGTCCCCTCCCCAGCGGGGCACGCCCACACTCTACTCCAGGAGCTGCTCTCAATCGCCAGATCTTTGGGTTTTTGAAGAGAGCTTGAGCACCCCGATTCTAATGGGAACTCTCAGACTAGAGAGGGCAGCAGCAAAGGGTCGGGATACTGAGGTGGTCAGGTGAGGCCGCCCTGAGGACTGGAGGACCTGAGTGTAGGTGTGGGGCAGTCAGGGAGGCTCCCCAGCACCGCTCGCCGCGGGCTGCGCGCGGACGTGCGCACCGGGATGCGGCAGCGGGGCGCCATGCCCGCCCGGCGCCGCGCCCGCCCCGCCGCGGGGTGAGTGGCAGGGCCGGGAAGGGTTAAGCCCACCGAGCTCGCGGCGGCCTAGAGCGGCGGCGGCGGCGGCGGCGGCGGGGGCCGGGGCGCGGGCGGCGGGCGGCGGGCGGCGGGCGGCGGGCGGCAGGCGGGGGACAGGATGCAGATGCCGGGGGGACTTCCTGCGCCGGCCCCCGCCCCCCGGCCCGGCCCACTGCCCGCGCGGACGCACGGCCGGCCGGCCGCACACCCAGGCGGGAGGGCGAGGGAACGGGGACCCCGGCCCAGCCGCGGCGCCCGCCTCCCGCCCCCGCCCGCGGGCTCCGGGCACCTGTGGCCGCTGGCGGACCCTGGCCGGACCCGGCTGCCCGGGCTGAGCCGACCAGTGTCGCCGGCCCTCGCCGGCCCCAGACTGGGCCACCCGCGCCTTCCGCCCGAGGGGCCGCCCCGAGGCCCGCGGCGCGCGCGATGGCCCTGCCCGACCTGCCCTGAGCCCAGGGCGGCCTCGGGCTCTGATTCCCCCCGCCCCCCGCCCCAGGGGCCCCACACCAACTTCTCTTGAACTCCGCTCTGCGCCTCCTTTTGGCCTGGGCGACCTCGGCAGCCCTGACAGCCGCAGACCCTCCCGACTGCCCAGAAAGGGCACCGGTGGCCCACCGCCTCCCTGCTCTTTCTGGATGGAGGCGTCTCTGAAAGGAGCTGGTTGAACGCTTTGGCCTTCACCTTCCAGCCCCTGCTGACCACGCCCTCCCTAGTGCAGAGGCTGCTGTGGGGAGCGGGAAATGCCGTACCAGGTGAGTCCCAAAGGGTGCGAGAGCTGGGCGGACGGGGACGCTTCTCTTCAGAGGTTTTGAACTGGTTCTGAAAGGCTAGGGGACCTGTGTCATCCTGTTAGGAGGGGAGGCAGGATTGGGTGTGGGGACTCTCTGCTGGGGCCAGGGTTGACGCAGGGGAGAGGCAGGGAACCCTCCAGGCCTCAGGAGTCCCTGGGCACAGGGCCAGGTGGCAGCTGGCTGGTTCCATGAGTTGTAGTGTTCTGGAAACCTGCCTCCCAAGGAGCTGAGGTGGCACCTGGAACCCGTGGCCTGGGAAGGCTGAGCCAACCCCAGAGCAATCTGGGAGGCCAGAGAGCAGGAAGGTGAGCCGACTTGTCAGGGCAGTGGGAATGTGAGATGGACAAGTCTCTTTTTTTTCCACAAACTTTCCCAGATGCGCCAGACTCCAACATCTGGGACTAACTCCCTATCCCAGTGAGGGCTGCTTCCCACTGTGGGCTCTCCGTGAGGAGCAGCTGCACTGCTGCCCCTAGGCTTGAGCTGAATGTGGGGCCCTGCAAAGTCAGCTAGTGAAAGGCTGCCTTGGTGCCGGAGAGTGGGCCTGGGAGCTGAGCCACCCTCCCTCTTCCTTTTCCCTACTGTAGACTGCTCTGTCCTCGTTTCCAGCAGGGCTGGAGCTGATTGCTCTGGGGAGGAGCGTGGTGTCCAAGGCAGAGGTGGGTTGGGGGCTCATAGTGTTCTCATCCATCTGAACAGCTTCTTTCCTTCGTCTCAGCACAGCCAGCTCCCCGGGCTCTGGGTCTGACCACCAGGATGGAGCTGGGGCCAACGACCAGGACCTTCATGCTGGAGCTTCAGTGTCTTCAGGATGGAGGCTCAGGGCCTGACACCCTCTCAGGTGAGGGGTGGGCAGGGTGATCTCTGGCCTCCTAAACCAGGAGATAGGGCTCAGCTCCCTGGTGATGGTCCTTTAACAGAGCCCCAGGCCTGCCATGGCTGTGAAAGGGCCTGAAGGGTGGCTGGCAGCTTGCTGTCTGGAAGGGCATCTGCCTGGCAGTTCCCTGGTGTGGAGGGCAGGCTGCTCTCACTCACACCAGCCAGCTTCAGCTCCAGGGAATAACTCTGGCAAGTTTGCCTGGGGGTTTTGTGAGGCAGCTCTGTCAGGCCGTGGTCTTGCTGGTGAGGGACTTCCAGGCAATGCAGACATTCTCAGCCCATGCCCCTAACTTTGGCTGCATGCTGGTTGGGAGCTGTGCCATTTCCCCAGCGGTCCCGCAGCCTCCCCTGCCTTCTCACCTGTTCCTGGCTCCAGGCTCAAGTTCCCAGATTGAATTCAGGGGCTGCGGGGCTGTCTACCTCTGCCCCTCATTCCTCAGGTATTGGCTGCCTGGCTTCTCTTTCCCCTGGGCCTCTGACCTTGTCCATTTTTCTCTGATCTCCTGTCCCATGCACCTTTCTTCCCCTTTGCCCAGAGGCAAATGTGGCAGAACTTTACAAGGCCCCTCTCCTGTGGGACCCACTCTGGGCAAACTTTCTATGGTGATCACTGAGATCCAATTCCTGCTCTGTTCTTTAAGGGTGCTGAGTGAGGGCTGGGGTGGGGTTGAAGAGTATGAAAAGAACCAAGGATCCAAAGGGTCAGATGGGGTCATGTGAACTACATAAGGACTCTTCTGGCTTAAATATTTAACTGACGGGTACACACTTAACGATACATTTACTAACCCATCATCGTTAAAAATGCTGACATTGCTGTCACGAGAAGTCAGGAGTGGCCAGATGGCCCAGCACCATGCCAGAGACGAGAGGTGCCCCTGCTGCTCCCAGAGGTGCTGGGAGAAGGGCGTGTCCAGGGAGACACTGAATTTGCTGGGTAGACAGGCTTTAGTGGGTCTTCACTCACCACCTGGTGCAAGTGTATGTGAAAACCACTCACTGATCCGTTAGTCTGAGCAAAGGTTGTTAGGTTAACCTTCTAAGAGGAGTTTATTTTCTAAGTAATGATCCCTTGGCTTTATTAAATCAATATATTCCTGGAAAAGTGACCAGAAAGCAACATTTTATAAATCAAACCTCTCCTTTCCATTACAAAACTGAAGCTGTGATACTGAAGGAGAATGGATGTTGAAATCAGACTTGGGAATGGGGAAAGCCTCTTCAACTTTTCTGATGTTCAGTGGCATTGCTCAAATCATGAAACTATATGTGGGTATCACTCAGAATGTGAAGCAAGGCAGCCAAGCTGCTCCCGTACAGCAGGGCTTCACTGGGGGCATATTACCCCTCCAGTTCTCCCTTTGTCCCTAAAGAGGATTTGTCCCCTTTTGCAGATGGGGAAACTCGGGTTCCCAGATGTTAAACAATTGGCCGGTTGCTTTGTTGACTTGTGGCTTTGAGTTAGGCCTTTCCATTCCAGAATAACAATCTAAGCACTTCCAGTTTTTAGGCTGTTTCAAATGGAGCTAATTGTATTCTTGGTCTTGCCAAACTGCTTGTTAGCTTGCAAACTAATTCCTAACCCATGGAGAGAGGGATTTTTCAAATGCCTACCATGTTCTTGGGGGTATGTCAGGGCCCTCCCACTTCTCTCATTAAACCAGCAGTGCGCCATCATTACAGACAAGGAGGGCTCCAAGCCTGCAGAGTTGGCCAGCTTCTAACAGGTACAGTTAGGTCTAAGCAGAGAGCTTCCCACAGGAAACCTCGTGATCTCTCTGACATTTGGTGATTTCTACAAAGCGCTTATGGTAATACTTCCAGGCAGCTTTATTAAAAGTTCTTTATTATTTACAGAGAAGATGAATTTCCTTTATTTAATGTGTGATGCTGAGGTCTGACTTCAGCACGAGCTTGTGGCTTGGCTGTTGGAATGGCCAGTTCACTGCTTCCTACTGGATGGTGATGAAGCACATGGGACTTCACAGGAATGGTGTTGGGGAGCCCCAGGCACCCATGCTGATGTCACTGCCAAGATCTCAGCATGGAGCCTGGTTGCAGGAACGCCCAGAGGAGGGGTCGGGGAGCTGAGGTCAGAATGACGTGATCAGAGTTCCTTGGGCACATTTCTGAGCCAACCCCACACCTCTTGGCATTTCAGTTTCTGCCACGCTGCCATTATCACTAGATCCAGTGTGTTAGCTTGCAAAGAGCGCAATAGTGTTGTATCCCATAGTGGCTGTACATGGGGCAGGGTAAGTGGGAAGGCCTTATACTGGGGGTCTGGACCAGAGAGCTGACAATAGACCTTTTTCTCTTGGCTTTCTGCCATTTCCACTACAGGTGGCAGTGGTGGGAGTGAGAGTCAGGAGGAAGAAGAGGCTCAGGAAGAGAGCAGCAGCCCCCAACGGCCAGCAAACTCAGCCTCGATGGGGGTCACTGAAATCACACAGGAAGCCCAGCCAGGACAGCAGGGCTTGCAACTGCAGCAGACAGAACAGCAGCAAGAGCTGCAGCAGCCACAGCCCCCAGACCACCCAGTAGGACAGCAGACAGAGCTACAGCAGCAAGACGGGCAAGAACAACTGCTTCAACAGCAGCAGGAGCTGCAGGAAAAACCTCAACCCATGCAACACCGCCAGCTGGAACCACAGGTGCAGCCGAGGCAACAGCAAGGACAGTTACAAAGGCAGCAAGTACAAGAGCAACAGGTGTTGCAGCAGCAGCAGGATGGGCAGCAGCAACTGCCTCAACAACAGCAGGAACAGCAGGAAGAACCCCAACCCATACAATGTGAGCACCTAAAGCCACATTTGCAGCCAGTGCAACAGCAGGGACAGTTACAAGCCCAGGAAGTGCAAGAGCAGAAACAGTTACAACCACAGCAGCTGCTACAACAGCTGCAACAGGATTTGCAACAGCAGAAACTGTTACAACAGCTGCAACAGTCACAGCAGCAGCAGGAACAGTTACAGCAACAGCAGTCACAGCAGCAGCAGGAACAGTTACAGCAACAGCAGTCACAGCAGCAGCAGGAACAGTTGCAGCAACAGCCATCACAGCAGCAGCAGGAACAGTTGCAGCAGCAGCAGCAGTTACAGCAGCAGCAGCAGGAACAGTTGCAGCAGCAGCAGCAGCAGCAGGAACAGTTGCAGCAGCAGCAGCAGTTACAGCAGCAGCAGCAGGAACAGTTGCAGCAGCAGCAGCAGCAGGAACAGTTGCAGCAGCAGCAGCAGCAGCAGGAACAGTTGCAGCAGCAGCAGCAGCAGCTGCAAGCCCATCCACTGGAGCCAGAGGAGGAGGAGGAGGTGGAGCTGGAGCTTATGCCAGTGGACCTGGGATCAGACCAGGAACTGGAGCAGCAAAGGCGGGAGCTGGAGCGACAGCAGGAACAGCGGCAGCTGCAGCTAAAACTGCAGGAGCAGCTACAGCAGTTGGAGCAGCAGCTGGAGCAGCAGCAGCAGCTGGAGCAGCAGCTGGAGCAGCAGCAGCTGGAGGAGCAGCAGGAGGTGCAGCTGGAGCTGACCTCAGTGCAGCTGGGGGCCCAGCCACAGGAGGTGCAGCTGGAGCTGACCCCAGCGCAGCCCGAGCTGCAGCTGGAGCTGGTGCCCGCTGCTGGGGATGGCGGGGCTCCCGCCGCAGTCGTGATGGCCCCTCCGGGCTACGTGGTGCTGCAGGAGCTTATGGTGCTACCGGCCATGGCGACGCCCGCGGTGATGGCCATCCCTGGCCCGGCGGGCAGCGCGGCCCTGACCCCTGCCCGGCAGCGGCGGCGGCGGCGCGCCAGGGACCGGCCAACCATCTGCGGGGAGTGCGGCAAGGGCTTCAGCCGCAGCACTGACCTGGTGCGGCACCAGGCCACGCACACGGGCGAGCGGCCCCACCGCTGCGGCGAGTGCGGCAAGGGCTTCTCGCAGCACTCGAACCTGGTGACGCACCAGCGCATCCACACGGGCGAGAAGCCCTACGCCTGCTCCTACTGCGCCAAGCGCTTCAGTGAGAGCTCGGCGCTCGTGCAGCACCAGCGCACGCACACCGGCGAGCGTCCCTACGCCTGCGGCGACTGTGGCAAGCGCTTCAGCGTCTCGTCCAACCTGCTGCGCCACCGGCGCACTCACTCCGGCGAGCGGCCCTACGTGTGCGAAGACTGCGGCGAGCGCTTCCGCCACAAGGTGCAGATCCGGCGCCACGAGCGCCAGCTGCACGGCGCCGGCCGCTCGCGGGGCCTGGGCCTGCTCCGTGGGGCGCGCGCAGCTGCTGTGGGGCATGCCGACGGGGCGGCGGACAAGGCACCGTGACATGAGGGCCCAGGCTGGGAGGCGCGGCTGCCCAGACCGGGAAGCCCTGTGTTCCTTTCCTGGGGACCTTATGATCCCGGCCCGCGGGCCCCGCACGTCCTGGTACACCGCTGGGAAAAGGCTTCCATCTTCCTCCCAGATGAACTGGTTCACAAATTCACCTTCGGAAGCGTCCTACAAGGAAAGGCCCACGTGGCCGAAAGAGCACAGGTGCCATCCCTCAGCAGACCCCAAGCAGTACTGAGTTGTTACTGGGTACTGGTTGGTGCAAAGTCTGCCAGAGTTTTTCTCGGGAAAATTGGAGTTCGTAGAAATGAGAGCCGCAGAAGAAAACTTCCAGTCACAGATGTGACAGTTGGTGATATTTGATACAGATTGAGCACTAACCAGGGAACCAAATATATATGGTAAAAAGCACATGAAAAGGATTTGTTCCTGGTAAAAATTATTTCAAGAAAGGAAAATGGGAGGAAAAAGAAAGGACACTTATCTGCACTATGTAGAAAACTGATCAAGGCATCAAATTGTCAAAAGTGGTATTTGCCTTGAAAATACTTTCTAGAATGACAATTCATCAGGGTGGATATAATCCTGCTTAAAATCTTTGTGTTCATAAGCACAGGGTCAGAGTGTCCACTGGGTCAATGTGCAAATGCAGGAAGTCCTGCTTGGGGTGGAAGGAAAAACCTCCCCTCTGGGGTAACCCAAGGTTTCTGCAAGCTGGGGGTCTGCTCTCTGCTGCCATGCTCCCAGGCCTACAGTGGCCATCAGTGTCCTCTTGAATAGAAGCCTATGGCTGAAGCAGAGGGCTTTCTGGGAGTTCTCTCCAAGGTCCCAAGGAGTGGTTCCCCCTCTCCCTAAGAGCTCCAGGGCAACCCCACCCTGGCCTCCAGAGATCCACCAGCTTTAGGCTTCTCAGACACTTGTCCCCGGGATGAGTCTATGGGATTGGGACCCAGAGACCCAGGGGCAGGGTTCCCCTGAGCTAGGCTATGCAGGGGGCTGGCCCCAGCAGACCCTGCCTCATCACTGGGGGCAGTCGAAGAATGTTGGGGACAAGGGTTGGAGGCAATAGAAATGCTCTGTATGATGTTTACAAAATTGTCTGGGAGCACAGCACATCCCTGATGGCTGTGGGAAGGCAGGATGGTGGGGAGGTGCCTGCCATCTCTGCCCCCAGTGCTTCCTGCTCCTGACTGCCCGTGTGTAGCTGCTTAGATCCTGCCCCTCTTTTCCTCCTTGCTTCTCCTTTACTAACACCGTCTGCTACATTTAACAAATGTGTTGGTAAGTGAGAAACAAAAAATGAAAAATAAATTTAAATGAAGAAAGACATGGTCTTGTCTGTGTGTTCACCTCTGGATTTTGTGTTTTGCCACTGGGTTTCATTTCTATGGAACATTTAACTGAATGCTGTAGAGCAAGGGACTCAGTTCAGGCCCATCCCCAGTTCCTCTCACCCCAGACCCTTCCTGTAGCCTGGGTCTCTTGGCCAGGCATGGCTTGTTCAGTGAAACCCTGCTGGGAGGGACAGCTACCAGAAGGCTGGTTTTGGCATCTTCTAAGGAGAAGCTTTGAATCATTCAGTCCAGCTGCATACTAGTGCGCTATGATAGTGGTGAGTGTATGTTCTGCTCAAAGGCCACTTGGAGGCAAGTCATGAGCCCTGGGGGCCCCTTCCAGCCCTGAGAGTCCTTGGTTCTAACACCCAACCAGTCAGACACTCTTAATAGCCCTTTTTTGTGTCCCCGTGTTGTCCAGCTTTTGTTTCTAAGAGTCCATGCCCTCAGCTTTCCTTTGTCAGAAGACCCTTGGGTGGCTGGAGCCCCTTGACTCACTTGTGCAAAGAGCTGGACATACCTCAGAATTGTCTCCCCCTTGGTGGCCTTCACTTCATGAGAGACAGGAGTGGGAGGAGGCTGCAAGCCAAGCCCTCCCGCTTTTGGCCAGGACACTCTGCCCTTGGCCTGTGAAACCCATTGAAGCATGCTTTGCAGGGTTTTGCTTGAGACTGCACTGTATTTTGCTTCCTCTCTTCCCCTGTCCTACTTCCCTTCTCTGACACCCAGAGAGGGAGCAGCCTTAATAAGTCACCCATGTGTAAATCCCTGTTTCAAGGCCTGCTTTTTGCGAGCCCACCTCAAGGCTGATGGTGTTGACAATGGGTGTAGGCAGTGGAGTCTAAAAGTGGGATCCTGGGCTTGGATCACTGGCTCATCATAGCAACAGGGTTCCCCTCATAGGTGGTGGGCTGTGGTGCCCCCTGGCTGCTGTACTCCTAGGATGGGATACTAGGTGGGAGGGGACACCCCAGCTCCTGTGGCATCTCCAGTACTTGAGGTATGTGGGAGGATGTCACGGTCAGGACTGGGCAATTGGTTGTTGTTGAGCACAACTAATGCCATGTGAAGGAAGATGAGAGGTTCAGGTCCAGAGTTATCAACGTAAGGCACAGAGGGACAGTCAGAGGCCTCCATGTAGTATTTAAAGAGACCCTCATTTCCTTCAGCCAAGGACCAACCACCAGGGACCAGGCACAGTGCCTGAAGCAAGAGTACTGAAATTCACAGATGCTGGACTACATCCACATCAGGGCCCTGGTCTGAAAGGAGGGGGACCTTCCAGTTTGGATTGGGGATATCTGGGCCTGGGCCTGCAGAAGTGGCCCATTTTCCCTTGCTACAAATATCATCTGTGCCCCCTGCCTCATCCTGTGAAGACCATCTCATTAAGGCAGATGTTTTTTAAGACAATACTTGCCTTACTTAAGATCTGCCTACACCTCCCTTCCTGGCCACTAGCCCCATAACAAGGTTCTAGGTCAGCACAGTCTGGCTGGGAAGTGCTGGCTCTGCTATGGGAGGGAAGGAATTACCAAAGGAGCTGCAAGTCCTGGCTAGTATGTCCTGGTGCAGCATGCACAGCAGTGGGTCTGGAGGCTGAGGGGCTGGGAGTGGGTGGGAGATGAGGCTGGAGAGGGAGCTCTATGGACCCCGGAGCACTCCTCTGGGTCCCACAGTGTGATGCTCTAGCAAGGGCCTCTGGAGCCAGTCCCCATGCTCTGCTGAGATGGCTCCTTGAAGCTCGGACGTGGCAAGAGCCCACACTAAGTGAGCAGGAGTTGCCAGCACGGCCTTGGCAGAGCTTTGAGGAGGGTATCCAAGGTCTGGAGAAAATAGATCTGTTTTATTTTTAGAAGTTGACTGTTCTCTTGGGAAAGCCCAGAAGATGCTCCTTCCACTGAGGAGAGAAGGAATGTGCTGGCGGGTGGGCGCTCCCTCATCAGGGAGCTCAGCAGGGGCTGCTCTCCAAGGACCAGGGCTGACACTGAAGGTGCTCTCATGGAACTGGATGCCTTCCCGTCAACAGGGGTGTGAGGGCCCTGGAGTAGCGGTTGGCTCCATGTAGCACTTAACCACCAGGGCAAGGTGCACACAGTTACTGAACTGGGCAGTAGGGTTGGGATGACAAGGAGGCCCAAACCCAAGGGGACCTAGGTGACAGGCAACACTGGTTGCCTGCTCGTGTTCCCGGGGCCAAGACAGATGAGTGGTCAACTAGCGTATTGCTTGATTTATATATCCTTCCCTCCACAACAACAAAAAAGGTAAATGTCAGCCTCCCCAGTAGAAAGTCACCTTCTCCTCCCCAGTTCCTAGATCTGAGCTAGTTCTGAGCCTGAACACACCCATTGCCAGAGAAGCTGGGGAAGGCTTTACAATACCATTATTTATGGTATTTGTATACAGCAGTGATTTCCCCAATCCTTCCCCAAATAGACTAGAGCCATTTCCCTGAGCAACCAGTTACTGAGGGGACAGGGTATCCCCATCTTTCCACCCTGGGTTCTGACCCCTCAAGGGCACAGTTCTGCATCACCCCATCGGAAAAGCCCCGGTACCAGCAGAGGTGCTGAAGGCAAGGGGGTTCTGGGCCAATGGGGGATAAGGAGCATCAGCTAGGGCCTCAGGGGCCACTGTGGGGGTGATGCTTAGATCGGCATTCTCCCCAGGTGGAATTCATTCAGGAAGTGAGTGGATATGTGTGGAGCAAAGAGTGGCCTGGGTAGATGTCGATTCTCTGCCACATATCCTTGGATGGGTCTTTTCCAGATGTGTGGGCTTCCTCACCCTGCCCAGCTCCCCACAGCAGCACCCAGAAGCCTGTCCATGCTCCCAGGGAAGGGGAAGAGGCGGCTGACCAAACTTTGGATGGTGTGGCAGTGCGAAAGCCCAGCTCCCTTCCTCAGATTGGGCAAACCCAAGGCTGCTCATGCTCAGAGGAGCCCTGGGGTGAGGGGGAAGCGTCCTCCCTTCTGCAGGACTTTGTCCAGGGCCTCCTGCTCCTTCTCTCTCCTGGGCCACATGCTCCTCTCTCACTAGCCTCCCCTGGGACATTTCCTCAATTAACTGCTTGCACACAAATGGTCTGCTCCCGGGAAACCTAATACAGAAGCCAAGGGTGGGGGTGCACAGGCAAAGGCTGTGGGCAGTCTTGTTCCAGCAGAGGCAGGCATTGCTGAAGAGCTCTCAACTCAGTGGGACATGAGATGGATAAATAATGGTACAGTGGGACTGGCCATGGGGAACAGAGTGAGTGACTTTCATGGGGAGCCAAGTGAGAGGTCCCCCAGGTTTAGAAGGTGTTTGCAAGGTGAGGACAGGAGAGACTGGAGGGGAGGCATTGCAGAATAGAAGTCACACTGTGCAAAGGATCAGAGCCAGAGAAGGGCCTAACGTGGTTAGGAATGGTGAGTTTCTGGTTTCTGGATGGCTGGGAGCTAGGTGCTGTGGGAGATGGGGTAGAATGAGGGGGAGAGCAAGGCAGGAGCTAGATTTTGTGGAGTCACATGATTTTGAAGCCAAGGAATTTGTATTTAATCCTATGGGTTAGTACTTCCCATACTTTGGTTATTTGCATATTATATGTATCATATCCACCGATGCTACTACTGACTTAGTATTTTTCTTAAATGACTGATACCGTTCTTCAACACATGTATTTAAAACAGGAGGTTTGTTTCACCATGACAAATGGAAGACCAGTGTTTCCCGGATCTGTTTCTCTGTCTCTGTTTAAGGCTGGCCATACTTAGGAGCTTGCTGGGGGTAAAGGGGATGCAGACTGGGTGTGCAAGAAGACAGTTCTAAATACCAGGGCTGCGACAGTTCTAAGTATTTTGCTCTTATTTTGATGTGAATCTGTTCACTTGTATATTAACCATCTTTTCTCTTTCCCTGTTGCATCTCCCTACCATCTCACGTAAAATACACTCGCAGTTAACTTTACATCTCAGTATTTAAGTTACAGGAAGTTAAAGGGAGAAGAGCAGTGACATCACCCAAAGTTGGATAAAGGCACTTTGTGTCTTCTGGGGGAAAAAGTGGTGTGTTTTGGTCACTGGAGGGTGGTCACACCATCTCCAGCAGACGGACTGTTGTCTTTTCAGAGGTTAAGTATGATTTGTTATTTTGGTTTCTCACATATCTGAGGCCAGGTTAGCGATTGCACTGTGATCCTTTTTCATCTTCTCTCTCCCTTATGCTCTAAAAATTCCCAGTCAAACTATTGATTCATAATGGGCTCCTCAGGAAAAAAACCAACCATTCATGCTTAAAAATAGAGAGCGCAAACCTGATTTTAATTCCCAACAATTTGACTATATATATCTCACCTTTGAGCAGTTGTCTTCAGGACAGGCTGTTTCCCTTTATCACTGGAGTCACAATATGCTGAGTGTGGGCGTGTCCCAGCTCCAGCAGGTAGCCGCCTACCCCACTGGGCAGGGCCACCCTGGGTCTGCCCTGCAGAGGCTCTTCCTCCAGTCTGGAATTTTGTGCAGGTGTCCTTGCCCCATCTTCTCTCCCAGAGGGATGCTAGAGAACCCATAGTTGAATGCAGTGTTGAGATAGTCTCCTTACTCAGATGGACAAACTCTACCAGGAAGCCCAGGCCTGAGCAGTCCTGGGCCACTCCTTTCTGTCCCCCCTGATGGCTTCCCCTCTGCTCCACTGCCAAGGGTGGCTGGGTCCCAGGGTCTGTGCTGTGTCTGCTCCGTCCCTGTCCACATCCTTACCACAGGTGGCCTCACCCAGCCCCACGCCTTAATTACAGCTGGTCACCCCAGATACCCAAATCCCTCCTGTCTACAGCCCTGACTCCTCCCCAGAACTTTTCAGCATCTCTTACCCCTACTTGACTTCTCCATTCCAATAGGCATTTTAGACTAACTAGGCCTTCCCTACGTGCCCGCCATCCCACAACGATTCCTGTGTCCAGAAGCCCAGCCATGTGTGGCCCCAGAAGGCCCCATGAATCAGGCTTGGTCCCTGG